CCCTGCCCCGTGGCGGCCCCGCGTCACGTGGCTTCGGGCGCGGCCCCGCGGTTCCAGGTCACGTGGCCCCGGGCGCGCGCGGCGCGCTCCCGGCAGTGACGCGCAGGCGCAGAGCATGCGTAGGCGGGTTGGGGAGGGAGTGTCCCGGAGGGCTGCGTCAGCTGGGTGGGACTCTCTTGCAACTCGTCGGCTAACTACAGAGGCCCTCCTTGATAGTCTCTGAAATTGTTTGGAATTACAGGTGGAAAGACAAGGATGGATCATTGAGTCCGCTGGCCGTATTTCTCATGTTGAGCAAAGTGATGCCCAGAGAGGCCAAGAGACTGGTGACTTAGTGGCCCAGCTGAAGCTGGAGCCTAGGTTTCCCCATATTTAGTTGCATTCCTCCCGCCTCCCTTCTCCCCTTTCCTTCATCTCTCCCCACTACTCTCATAGAAGCAGCCCTGCTCTGTCTTCACCAAGAATTAGGCCAAACCTGCAAATCCCCAGAACCAAGAGCAGAACTTTCTGCTGCCAACGTGTCTTATGTTCCTGAGTCGACTCACATTTCTTGTCCTATTTAGTCAGGATAATGAATGAATGTACTATCCGGATTTGGACACCTGATGAGTGGCTCTCCTAACAGTATTTGAAGGGATTTTTTTAAAACCCTGAATTCAAAATGGCAATAAAAATTGCTTGGGAAGGATAGAATCTACATTGCTCAATGAACAGCATTAAATTAGCTCTATAGCTAACCGTTCAATCAGATGTATAGAAATTATTAAATGAATGTCTGTCTCTGACAAGTGCCTCTGATACGCTTCACAGTGGGACACTAAGGTGAATAACTGATACTCCCTCATCCACCCCCCCACACCCCACTTCCCCCACCTAGCTCAAGATCTCCTGGGTCAGTGCTGTAAATATCCTTCATGAAGTCATGCAACTTGAATGTTTCAGAGGTTCAGTCCTAAGACTTCTCAGACCCTTCTATTTTGGTGAATTCTTTTTGCCTCCAGGATTATGGTTTCTTTTTCTTGGCTGTTGCCATAGCTCATTCCAATTTCTCTATACTTTGGGGTTCTGACTCTCAAGTCTGTCTGGGAAGGATTAGAATACCTCCTTAGTACTCCGCTACATTCTGTACTAAGTACTCCTTAGTACTCTCTACATGGCAAGTGTGCAGATACCACGCATTTCGTTCTGTTGAACAAAAATCCTGAGCACCTTTTATTCTATGCCAGTCATCACCCAAGGTCTTTAGGATTCCAAGATGAGTAAGTGACTGGGCACAATGGCTCATGCCTGTAATCCCCAGCACTATGGGAGGCAGAGGTGAGAGGATTATCTGAGCCCACGGGTTCGAGGCCAGCTTGGGCAACACGGCAAGACCTTGTCTCTGCAATAAATAAAAAAATTAGCTGGGCGTGGTGGCACATGCCTGTAGTTCCAGCTACTTTGAAGGCTGAGGCAGAAGGGTTGCCTGAACCCAGCAGGTTGAGGCCACGGTGGCCGTGAGCAGCATGCATTCCAGCCTGGGTGACAGAGTGATATTCTGACTCAAACAAATAAAAAACAAAGATGAGCAAGCAAGGGTCTGGATTTCCAGGGCTGAGAGGTTGGTGAAGTTCACTGACCTACTGAGGACATAACCGAGAAGCTGCTTCAGCATCGACAAAGAGAAGGCAGGGAGGGCTTCCTGGAGACAACCACTCTTGAGTTCAGCATTGAAGGGTGTTTAAGAGGGTGTTGAAGATGCCTGAGATGGCATGAGGGGGTGGGTGGGTAGGAGATAGGAAGACCATGACAGCAGTAAGGTGTTATTAGAGCATAAAATGATATGAGCTGGGGAGTAGATTGAGATGCAGGTAGAGAGGTGAGTAGGGGCCAAGTTATGTCAGTGCTGCCCAAGGCAACTGGAAAAAATGACCTTTCCAGCCCAGCACCGGGCAGCAGTGTGCTCTCCTGGATGAAACCACAGCGGAGCTGAGGTCTTGTAGAGCCAATCTTCCCCTGTGTTCTCCTCTTCCCCCTCCTTCTTATGTCTGTCCCCCCTCCGGAGATTTTGATCAACAAGATCAGGGACTACTCTTGTTCCAGTTGGGGGAGTCATGTGCATTTGTTCCCTTTGAACCCTTCTGCAGCATATCACCCTCACCTGTGCCCCTCTCAGGGTACTTGCAATGAGATGGGATAGGTGGAGTTCTGCCTCCTTTAGGGAGAAAATAATTGGTTTTCTCGAAGGAGAGTTGCCTGGAATTCTCTTCTCCATTACTCAAATACTCTTTCCTCCATCATTTCTTCTTCTCTTTAAAAAATGTCCCCACCAAAAAAGAACCACAGATCCCTGTAGACGAATTTAGCATATCCAGCTGCAATTTTCTGTTTGAATATTACATATTCAACATATAGGAAATTGGAAGTCGGCAGGAACAATTTTAGAAAGGACAGACTTTTAAGTGAGGGTGTTTTAA